TATGTCCATGAGTGACAAATTCCCTGCTCCTAGGAAAAGAATACTTCTGCCATTGGGTGTTGGTACTACTCTTGGGTTTGCCCGGGACTTGCTGTGTTTCAGCACAGAAACTCCTGAAATGATGAATCATTATAACTAAATAAATGAATAAATAAATACTGACATTGACATTTAAAGAATCAATTAAATTATATTTAACTGGCCTTAGAAAAAAAAAATTCACATATGCCCATCCAATGTTGTCCAGTACCTAACAACTATGATCTACTTAATCATACTTAAGATATTAGCTAAATATATCATTCTTATCACATAAACATATGCCCAATCAATGCCATATCTTAAAACTGTGACATGCTGAATCACACATCTTCATTTCATCTACACATACCTATCCTCTCACTGAGCTTCCAATGTGCAATCAATCCCTCTACAAGGTTACTGGCAAGCAAAGGTGTACGCCCTGGCCTTGGGAGGAAAGCAGTGTGGTTGGTGACAAGTTCATCATCCTTGTAGGGAATAAACTGACCATCAGGCCACAATACTACATCATCACTAGCATTGGAAACTGCCTTCTGCAAATCTGAACGCAAAAGTGCTTTGTGAGAATATTTCAAAGATTCACGCAGTTAATCAGTAAAAACTACTCCATAAATTGAAGAAGTGAGTTTATGTATATGATAAATGCAATCAGTTAGATATACTGTTTAATGCAAACATGTACCAGTACAAGGTCATTGTGACTGATAATCACAGCGTCAACTCACTTGGTTTGGGAGGTAATGCTTTAAACATCTTCACAACTTTCCCTGGAATCCCATGCCAACATGATGGAAAGGGCTTTAATGTCCAACTTGGGACATCTATTTTGCCCTCTAATTCATCCAACTTCAAACTTTGCACATTCCCCATGACCTGAAAAAAGTTTTGTCCTGGTAGGCTTATTTCAAATGGCTTTTCATTATAAGCCATTCATTGGTGTTTTAGAAATAAAGACAACAATCCATTAGGCTACAGAGAGCCTACTACTATTACTACACAAGCTGTATAACTTTACTTATGCTAGTACAACGTGGCTTGGAAGTGCATTACAGAACTTTGTTGCATAAAATTTAAAAACCAAACGCTCCAAAATGTCATTATGTGTAACCTGGAAAAACTCGTCGAATTGTCTGCATGTGTCATTTTAAGGCATTGCGTGGGCACTCCACGTATGCAAATTTACGCACTGTGGCATAACTGTCAATTCCTCACCTTGAAAAAAATCTTTAAATTGTTTACATTTCAGCAATACTTTTTCTTTGAGGTCAGTGCTACTATGGGAAGATAATAACCATCGACGTCGCTCGCGTGCAAGATAGGACTAAAAGCGATTAATATCTTATCCCAAACCAAGCTATATCAGTTCGATGCTTCCAAATTTAAGTTAACAGTTTCAAAAAAGTCGTAAGTAAATGATAAATCAGGAAGTGCAGAGTTCAACTGGTCACATCACTGTTGTAAACAATTTGTTTTTCCTCTTGCGCACGTGACCTTGTGGTTAGCAAGATGGCGAGGAGCGAGAATGGATAGAATGCTAGATCTCGATGAGGATGCTTTCCAGCATCCAACTATAATGGATGACATACTGCCCGAAGATTTTTTGAATGACGACGAACCTCTGGGCACGCTATGGACCCGTTTAGACTCGGATCAGATTATTTACCAGCCTCAAAGGAGGAAAGCAACTATGGTAGGAAAGTACTTAAAAGGGGAAACGTTGGGCGAAGGTAGCTACGGAAAAGTGAAAGAGGTGCTGGACTCTGAAAACCTTTGTAGACGTGCAGTGAAGATATTGAAGAAAGGCAGACTTCGAAAAATCCCCAATGGAGAGCAAAATGTGAAGAGGTATTGCATGAGTCTTGTTATTCTAAATGAAAACCCATCTGTTATTCCACTTGGAACTTGGAAGTTAAAATCTTTGTAACACTGTCACTCAGCTTGATGACAAATGTTTTTTCCTTTGTCATTATTCTGTAGGTGAAATTTAAATCTGCAGTATGCACGTATATTCAGAGCCGATGCTTGTATCTGTTTGCAATAGAACTTTTTTACATGTCACCAGTTGTTGGCTGGTCAAGCCATGTAGTGACCCAGTGGTTGACTATCTCATCCAAGAGGTTGTGACCATCTTTATACAAATGAATGCAAATATGGTCAGTCCAATTTTGCCAGCAAATGTGCTTCTGTTTATTTAAATGCAATTTTAAGAAACATCAGACAGAATACTTGAATTTGAATGCTAAAATTTTTGAATACAGATATTATGATGCAGTTGGAAAAGAGAGGCAGAAAGTTTTTTGGTATATGTTATTTAAACCCAAGGATATGTTTTAAGAGCATGACTGCTAATTATCTAGATATTTCTTTTGAGTAACAGTGATGACCAAAAGTTTTTATTAATCTTTTGGGCTCACTGATATGTGAATGGTGTTCTTTGCTATATCAGACTCAGCATTACATCAGATGTATTGAATTATGATCATGTCCAATAATCCTGCATATTGCTTTCCATTTTACAGAGAAATATCTTTACTGAAGAGACTTAGTAACAAGAATGTTATTCAGCTCATAGAAGTACTTTACCATGAAGAAAAACAGAAAATATATCCTTTAACAATATAACATACAGTAAGCATTGAACAGGAAAAACTTAAATCCATGAATTTCATTATCTGATATAATTTACGTTTATTGCATTGAAAACAAAATCTTAAAAAATTCAGCAGTTACACCAGCTTACATTTTTAAAGACTGCATGATTTTTATAACACTTGTCAGATACCATTTTGATTTTCGATATCATGTAAGATAAATGTGTTTTAGTCATTAAGGTTTGTAATATGTGGACTATTTGTTTTATTTTAATATAAATATATCAAGGGTGCATATCATTGTTGATAAACCTATTTGCCTTAACTTTCTTCACGTATATGATAATGGAATACTGTAGTGGTAATCTACAAGAGATGCTGGAAAGTGTCCCAGAGAAGAAGTTTCCTTTATGGCAAGCTCATATGTAAGAATGTGTGAAAAGTTAAAAAGCATCGTATTTGAAATAGATTAGAAAATAACTTTCTGTATCTTAAATATATAAAGATAAAAAATTCAGCTAAGAATGCTTTCACATTATGAAATATTTTCTGAAATATTTTGTTTATTTCAAACATCAATTCTCTTATAGTTTTAAAATATATAAGAAAGGTCTTCAGTAATTAATAAATAAAAAAAAATCAACTGTATTTATATATTGATGTGTCCAGGTATTTTACCCAGCTTATTGATGGACTGGAGTACTTACACAGTCAGGGCATTGTACATAAAGATATAAAACCGGGGAACCTGCTGGTCACCACTGATGGCACCCTAAAGATCACAGACTTGGGTGTTGCTGAGGTAAGGGTTTAATTGAAGGAGGATAGTAGTGGCATTCATCTGGTAATCAGGGAAGCTAGCTGTGTTGTTGATTGTAGTGTTAATTCTGTGTATTTGTCTCTTCATAAAATATTTAATGGCTTTATTGATAACTTATTATTGTTATTATTATCATTATTTCATATTTTTATTATTATTTTTTATTTTATTTATTTATTATCTTTTTTTTTTTTTGCAGTGCAATAGTTAAAATGGCACGTGACATTCTGAAAAAAGAAGTCAAATCTGAAAAATACCACATTGCCCAACTTTTTCGTGTTTTTTAGGCCTTGGATTATTTTCAAGAAGATGATATTTGTAAAACTAGTCAAGGGTCCCCTGCTTTTCAACCACCGGAGATTGCAAACGGGTTAGATAGTTTTCATGGATTCAAAGTTGATGTCTGGTCATCAGGGGTTACTTTGTAAGTTTCTTATCACTTACATATTCCTGTTATCACGACAAACTGTAAAAATATGTTACTTACTGTTACCAATGTTTTGTGTCTGATGTTCTTTTCTCAAAATTTGAAATGGAATAGTGGGTAGAATTACCCTTGTCTGCTTATGTTACTTCTTTATAACTACTACAGTAACTATTGTCTTGTCTAAATCATGAATGCTTTTATAATATCAGTTTGAAGTATCAAAATATAATTGTTACAATTTTGTTTGCAAATTCAGGTATAATATTATCACAGGAAAGTATCCCTTTGAAGGAGATAATGTTTATAGACTTTTTGAAACAATTGGAAAAGGAGTTTTTACCATTCCTGACACTGGAGATCCAAGTGTGGAAGATTTGATTAGGGGTGAGTTGTCTGTTTATCCAGCTTAAATCGCAATGATAATAATATATTCAAAGGGATGAAACTTGTTTTATTCTTAAATAATTGCTGATCTGTAGATCATGCCGTATGCTTGAGTCAGCATTTAACCTATATTTTTCAAAAGAAAATACCATAAATTTGTTTTAGAAATTTCGTATAGAATAAAAGACAATACACACGATTCTGAGATTGTATTATAACTTTCTACAGTGATATTTAATTTTGTTTTGCCTAGGAATGCTGACTTACGACCCCGTTAAAAGGCTAAAGATACAACAGATTAAACACCATAAGTGAGTAAATTATTTTGGAAATTGTCCTTCACTTTGCATCAATTTTGCCTCTTTTATAATTGAATAATAGTATTGTGTTGATGGCACTTGCTAGACCAGTCTTTACTTGATTGTTTGAGGACAATTAATTAGTAACCATCTTTTTATTTGTATTTAAAATATTAATCTTACTTGGTATGTCAAATATGACATCTAAGTAAATGGATAAGGTAAAAATTGAAGGTGTGCCCGTAAATTTTATTAATATGTTCAAACACTTTTTTCTGTTAGTTCTTATGGCAAGTGAATATTATAGACTATGGTGTCTTATAAGACCAGTAGGCTAAATGTTTTTACCCCAGGCTTGCATAACCTTTACATAATCTGTACATCATTATGCTTAATTGCTTCAGTTGGTATAGGAAGAAAATATCACGCACAACAGAATATGTGATGCCGCCCCCTCTACCCGACTCAGACGACCCGCTACGCTGTATGACTGTGATACCTTACCTCGAGGCTTTCCACTGTGGAGAGGAATATGATGAGGAGGAGGAGTACGAGGATGGAGAGTTTTTCGTTGAACAGCCTGGACCGTCAGGTAGGACTTTATTATTTCAAAGCTCCCCAACTTCTCTCACTAATAAATAGAATAGCCCTAAAGAATATTAGAAAACTAGGAGTTTAACAATAATTGTGATAAATACACAGCCTCTTACATTAGTGAATTATAATTAAGTTGGCAGGTGGAATTAAATGAAATTATTACTCCAGTGTCGTATCTGAGTTGAAGGATTCCTTTTTAATGAAAAAACTGTTTCATTAGACTATATTAAATCTGAGTAGTTACATATATTTTAAGAGGCATTTCTTTTTTTTTTATTACTCTTTTATCTCTTTTCTTTTTTGTCCAGGTCAAGGTGCAGCACAGCAGCCAGGGACTCCATCGCCAAAGTTAAAAGACAAGAAATCCAAGAGAAAAAAGATCCCAGTTAGGAAATTTACATTTGGTTCATGCAAGCAGCAGTGACGATATCCCCACTTGTTGTCCTCTGCCCAGTTCTCACCACTGGAAGTGTTTTGTTGATGTTATATATTTGTTGTTAAAATTGCTGCTGTACTCACTGCCTCCTTATTCTTGAGGAAAAAATATGCCATCTGTGTGTTGTTATCAGCATAGAATGTGCATGTAACTTAAAGGAATCCAATGACATTTAGTTGAGATAAAGATTGAGGGGACATGAAATTGGTCAATAAAGTTCTCCAAGCATATCCTAGTGGAAGTTTAAAAAAGGGCATTAAGTGAATAATGTACTCATTAATATAATGAGATGTCACACTGTCCAAAAATGCACACTGCATGTTAAGTTAAGAAGGATATCTGGTTTTTTGAATGTCAGATGCACATTGCCTTGTTTTTTTAGTAGGATTCATGAAATTGGAACTAATGGCTGATCTACTGGATATAAATTTGTCAGACTGTACCGTATTATTGATTACAAAAGAATCAAGGTTTCATTTATCCATACAATAGACTATATTTCTTTAACATATTTTTTTCTCCTTGAATGTTTGGTTGTAGGATACCTCCTTGGCAAACTGGTGCTACTGTGGAGCTATGTACTCTGTCTTTTATTTTCATGGATATATTTTGTTTCATATCTGCTCACTGATAATACATTATGTGCCATGGTTGTGATCAACCAGTCGTAGAATTCTTGGCAGCTAATTGTTTACCAAGCTCCTTACACAGTTCCTTTGACTGTCAGGTCATTAATTATAACTTTCCTTTTACATGTGTTTCTTTAAAAACACAGGGAGCAGGCTTTTGTCGTTTTATTTTTGCCCTTCTGTCCTCCAATTTAATTGGATTGCTGTGCTGCATATAAACGGTTTTGCTAAAGGTTCATTCATCATGTGAGATTAATCACATTAATCATGACTGGACTGAGTAGAGGAGCTGAACCATTTGCCTTATTTGCTAAGGGTGAAACCTTTACATGCAGAAATGCCTTAAATTGTATCAGTTATTTGTTTTACCAAGTGCAAAGCATAACAAAGACAGTGGGAAGCAGTTGAGGTCAACTCTGGGTTGTGTTTGCAGAGATCCTGTTATGGTTTCTTCACTATTAAGAATTTGTGTTAATTCACTCTTGTGTCACCACTTCAAACTCAAAAGCACCTTATTCATTCTTTTGACCTTCTTTGGGAAATGAAGTTTCTTGTAGTTTGAACTTATTTTGCATATATCTAGTCATTTGAATGAAAATTGATTTGAACATATCAAAGGCACAGAGAATGTGCAATAAAGGAAAACACCATAGCATGAGGCTAAATAATATATATGTGTGTAACTTGCTTGTTAGTAATGTATAGATGTTTGTTATATCAGTTAATGAATTGTAAAGAAATGAAGTGCAAACTATTCTAATTGCTCATTCAGTTTATTATTTTAAAGTTTCAACATTGGTTGGTAACCAGTGTTTCACTTCAAACCTTAGCTTCTCACTTTTTTTTCTTCACTTCATGGTATAAAATTGCTTATTTGTCACATTGAATAAGTTCATTACTTTTTTACAATGATTTTGTCATCAAGATAAAAAGAAAGCAATGGACTTTTGAGTGGAATGTACAAAGCGGTGCATTTGGGAAAACTGGTTGATGACAATGCAAAGTGTGCATTACAGAAAAGTAGTTTGCCCTGATGGAAAACAGGCATGAAATTATCCAGCAATAGAGACTTACGTCCTATTTGGACATTCATGATTATTGTTTTGTACATAAGCGTGTATATTGATTATAAAAACACTTGGTGACTGACTGAGTCAGCTGGCGCCAGTTAGTTTACTTCTTGTTCCATGTGGCCATTGTTAACATGTTCCAATACAATTATACTTCTTTCTACAGTCAGTAATGTAAAGATTTTTTATACTGCAATGAAAATGACAGTTGATATGCCAGTAATCATCAGACTAAAAACATGCCATGCTGTTTTGTGTGACACAAGATGTACTTTCTCCAGGAGACAGGGTTTCAAAAATGGAAACTGATGTCATACAAATGAAGATTCAATACTAGTGTTGTATAGAAATGTCATAGCTTCATAATCACTGTTTTGAAAAAAAGAACACATAAAACAAATGTTCAGTTATGTACCATTGTTAGGTCTAATTGTAACATACAGATAATTGAAGAAAAATTATGTTTTTCATGACATTTTATATTGTACAACCTAATTAAACTTTTTTTGCCTACTTTATAAATGCTTTCAAATAGAAGAGAATGTTATGAATTAAGATTCAGTAAGTGCATTTGTATGATGAATGACTGAATCCCTTGAAAGGGGTATTTGAATGAAAAAGTACACTTTTACTTGTTCTGAAACACTATTTGGTTCCAGTTGAAGCAAAGATTTAAGGTATTATAAGTCAATCATACCAAATATAAGTATTGGTTTAATTATACATTGTAAAATGCTTTACATTCTAAAAATCTTAGAAAATAAGTAGATTTGTATTTACCATTTGTAGTCTAACATGTTTGTGGTTAATGATTAGATTTGAATATTTGTAATTTTGGAATTGTCAGTACTGAATGTTGTGTGTTTCAGACTATAATGTTGAATGAAATAATTACTATTTTAGACATCAACTGTTTGTGTCATTCCTGTAATTTTCATTTCTGTTTTGTTGAAGCAAACAACAACATAAAATGAACCTAAAACTAATTTTAGAACACTTAAAATTTTCGAATTTTTTTATTGTTTTAACTTTTAAAAACTTGTAGAACATTTAACTGCTTGCCACTGATATACTGATTTATTTTCACTAAAAATATATTTTATTTATTTTAATAAATAAGGTTAACATGCCATAATCTTTTAAAATAGCACAATAAAATACACTGGGTTGTCACTGAAGAATGTGAAACAGACTATACAGGTGCTTATGACAGTCTCTCACACGTGTCTGATGCTTTCTCATTTCTGCTTTCCAGTTTTGCAATGCGTGATCCAAATTGTATGGCTCTCTTTGGCAGTGATGCAGCATTAGTTAAGCCAAGTTTAGCTGCCGCTACTCTGAGCAAAAATTTTTCTCCGACTCCTCGAGGAAGAGAAAGAAGACACTGAAATGTGAGATAACACTGCTAATCATTGTAAAAAATCTCATTTGTCATACATACAGATGGTGATTAACACTTCATAGAAAATGCTAAGAAGAAAATTACTGTTAAAAAAAATAACTGTGAAATTAAAATATTTTAAAAGTATGACTCTCACGTATCATTTTACCTTTTTCCACATTGGCAAACTATTCAGGAAAAAAACTACATCTTCATCTAAGAAAGGAAGTCTAGATTCTCGAGCATGGTCTGTAATGATTCTGAAAATATAAAATAATTGTTTCAGACTTCTCAAATGCATATGAGAAAAAAAGAGACAATATAAGTTACTTTGAAATCTAGAAATAAAGTGTGGAGACACGACACACAAGAAGCTACACTAACAGCATACCTGTCATCACGGCCAAGGTTCCTTGATGAAATTCTCTTTATTTCCATATCAATTTCATCAACCAATCCTTGCCAGCCATTGGTGCTGAAAGAAATATTTTCCATACAGTGATCTTTAACAAGACTTACTGAAGCAAAACCATACATAATTTAACATTAGATTATAATCAGGGTGTAGATAATTAGGGTGAACATGCATGCCACAGAAAAGATATATCAAAATTCTGATACAAAAAAATAATAAATAAGATAATAATAACAATAATACTAAATAAAAAATAACTCACTTAAACTTGACTCTGTGTCTAGAGTATCCTGCAAGTTGCTCATCAGCACCCATTCCAACAAGCACTACCTGAATTAAATGAATGAACACACTCATCTCAATGGATTATATTACAAAAATAGTACAGAGAAAAAATTGCTGTATGATCCATTTGGTGCAAAAAACGTGGGTATACCCATAAAGGAGATACTTCAGTATTGCTTCATCAGGGATCACACAACCATTTTATTACCTTATAAAGGAGCACAGAAACATATACAAAACAGACAAGCTGCCAGTAAAATTGAAATTGATATCTAATCTAATTTTAGTTTTAACAGTAACTCTCACCCTGGCAGTGGAAGTGTAGTTCACCATTTCTGTGTCTGTTATTCTGAGAATCCCTCTCCCTCTAGCAGCAAACCATATGGCACACCCTATACTGTCATCTAGGACAGTCTGAGAGGGGTAAACCAGTTCACTTACATGTTCATTCCTGAAAAAATTCAATATTGAAATATAAAATTTCAAGTAACATGGTTGAGAAAAAATCCTGTTTTCCCATGAAAACATGTTTTATGAAAATTTGCCTACAGCAATGTGTTTGTATGTACTTTTATTTCTAAACTATAGCTTCAAGTAAAAAATAGTGTCAAATAGCAGTAAACAAGTCAAAATGTTTATTTTAGTGTGAAATACTTCACACGCTTACCTTGCTCTTTGTAATTCTTCTAACGTGACATTTACCTAGAAAATTAACAAAATTTAATTTAAAAGCAAATTAAGGAAAAAATCAGAGAAGTGCTCTTGCATTTATTAAAAAACAAATGATCTACAAGTCTTGTTTGTCAACAAAATCACAAAAAAAGAAAGAAAATGCATGATCTCACCTCTATAAAATTCCAGGGTCTATGAGGGTTGAGCTCCTTCAGTCCTTCTTTACCTGTTATTCTGTCTGGCACTTCAAAGGAATCTTTTGGTTGTTTAGGTTGACTGAAAAGGACAATTACATAGTTATTCAAAGGAGTAAACAAATGCCATAGAAAACTGACATTTTATTTTTTTTCGATCTGACCCTTACTGTAAACTAATTATATTTGAAATTTATTACACTTTGCAAAATGTAAGAGAAAGCATGATGAAACTTTTATTCACTTACGTGCAGTTCGTGCTAGATTAGAAGAAAACGTGTATAGGGATTGGATTTAAGTTAACTTTAGAGCTTATTCATACTTTGACAGCAAAAGTAGGTTTTATTTGGACCAGTAAAATGTGAAATATAATACAAAATGAGCATTGCTATCATTCCCACTGATTACTTCTTTTCATAACTCAAAACATATGATAATGAAGTACATGTAAATTTCTTACAGATTCTTGGGTTCTTTTTTCTTGGCATTTGTATTCTGTTGTTGCTCAAATGCTACATTCAGCAAATCAATAGGTTCCCCATCTGGAACATGCCTATTGCAAAGTAATGTAAAAAGAATATGACCACTCATCATCAAGAATACATCTAATGTCTTCGTGATTGAACAAAATATTTCATTACAGCACATATATCTCAATGAATGTCCAAATCACAGATGGTTGTATATAATACATAAATTGGATTTTTTGTCTGTGTACACACCTATCTGCCAGTGCAGCAATCACTATAGAATCAATCCCCCCAGAGAACAGCACAGCTATACGGGCATGCTGACACCTAGTCTCACTGTCCACTCCTGACCCAGGGTCAGTGGTGAAATGTCCATCTGAATACACATTTATATCACTTCCAGATGAATTACTGCTGGTCATTTCTTTTTTTTCAACTGGGATATCCTCCAGGGGAGAGGCTGTCTGGAAATCACTTGATGCCAAGTTTATATTGGTATTTGTTTCCCCCTGAAAATGGGTAGTGACAAGCCCATCATCTTCAACCTGTAACTGGGTAACTTTGGATGTTAAATCCTTGGGGTCCTTAGGTGTTCCTACATAATTACCAAGCAGAAAAGTTTCACCAGTGCTACAATGCTGTTTACTTGCTTTATTTTTCTTGATTTTTTGGCGACTTCTGAGACAAAAATGACACAATGTTGGCTGATTTTGCACCCTGCGTTTCACTGCCTCGCTCAACACTTCTGTAAATTTATCTGCAAGTTGTTTCATATCTGAGTCAGCCAGGCTGAGAATATTCTCTTGTGGTGTGTTCTTTTTCTGATTGTTACTCCCACTTTCAGTGCTTTTTTCTTTACAAGGATCCAACTGTTTGTCCCCACCAAGAGATGCATAAGTCATTTCAACTGAAACATTTTTCGACCTTTGAGATGCTTTAGCAGATACTGAGGAGGCTTCATCCCAGACTTTTTCTTTTGACTTGTCAACTCCAAGTCCAAAGAATGCTAATGAATCTTCCACTGTGGGTAGCTGTCTGTTAAATGAATCTATTGTACTCTGTATACAGAGACCTCCTTTTTTAACAAAGTGAATGTTTTTACTTGGATTCACTTGTCCATCTTTTATAGAATTTGTACTTCCATTAAATGGCTCTTCTGGGTCCACGGGAAAATTGCTGTTATTTACTTCTACGGGGCCTGTTATCCATGGAAGCCAAATTATATTTGCCATCCATGAGGTATCTGATGATCTAGAATCATGTCCATCAGGGAGTATCATCTTATATATTCCATTAGCTGGCACCTCCTCCCATTTCTATAAAACAAATGTCATAATTGTCCAATAACACAGAACTGGAATTTAGTGAAAAACCAATGCACATTACTCTCTTAAAGAAAGAAATCAATTACAATTTTTTCATTGTTGCATTGAAAGTAATAAGAAATAACCTTCAAAACAAGGCTCTGTTGATATATAGCTTGTTGCTTAAAAAAACAGCCATCTCATCTCATACTGTACATCATTAAACTGACCACAATTACAAGACATTCAAAGTAGATGTCATTCAAAATAAGTATATTTAAATATGTACCAGTGGTTTAATTTGCACAGATGCCAGACCAAAACAGTCATGGAAGTCATCAGGGTCTAGCAGATGCCACAATAAACTTCTTCTGCCAAAGCAGTCTCTTCCAAACCACAGTGTATTTCGTTGTTTCTATTAAAAATATTAAAAATAATATGAATTTTATTATAAATATAAATAATATTGTTGTCATTAAAAGAAATATACTATTACAAGTTATATTCTATAAACAATATTTAAACCTCACAATAAATATTAGGAAGTTGCTAACTATTGTAGTTTCCAAAAACCAACACCTATGCATTTTAAGCATAATAATCATTTTTCAGTGGCTCTTAAAAGCCTATTTTACAAATAAAAAATAAATTACTTCATATTTGCCAATTAATTAATTAATTAATCTTAAACAAAAATGCAGCCCTTACTGCTTCTCAAGAGTATAGAAGAAGGTAAAGAGAAAGATCTTACTTGAAAATTGAAAAAATAAACAACTCAATATTCAGTGTCTTTATATATATATATATATATACACACACACACACACACACACACACACACACACACACACACACACACACACACACACACACACACACACACACACACACACACACACACACCTAAAATTTTGATTACCTGAAAGTAAATAAAAGCCCATGGTCCTTTGATCTGACTGAACACCTGCAGTATTTCCTCATCAGAGGTACACTGGCCCAGATGCTGCAAGACAACTTGACTGTCATTCTCCTCCCCTCGAATCTGACAAGATCAATATGATATTTGAAAAAAAGAATTATCATAAAAGTGCACACATATGTGAAGCCCAATTAAAAATTAACAATCAGAACCAGGATTTCAAAGTTGGTGGTTCAAATAATTGTTATCAAGCGACATCCTTAGTATTTGAGTATGTGTACAGCAACTACTGGGAAAATGACACTCAAACTTGTCAACATATAAAAGAATGAACATAAACCCACCTCCAACCCTCCGAATACCTCTCCATTCCACAGTAGTAGGTTACCATCTGAATCTTGCACTGGTTGAGGAGTCAACTGCCCACGCAGGTGGAGGACACAGCCATGCAGGGACAATCGAATATTTCCTGTGAGTTCCACCTCATGGCTCTCAACACTGTCTGGGCCTCTGTGATGCAATCTACTCTTCTGAACATAATCTGAAGCCTGTAACATAAATCAGAATACGACAATGTGTTTCAATCCAGTGTCAGTCATACTGGTAGTGTTAAAATCGGCTACTACACGTTTAGACCTCAAAATAAAACTATTAGAGTGGAGGATATGCATTAGGTCTACGCCAGAACTTCACTTAAGAGAATTAACTTAACCATGAGTAAATCACTAAAGTAAAAAGAGACTTACCTGAGTTTGATTTCTTCTATTGCCCACCCAGAGGAAAGCACAGATGCCGCACATGTTGATATCGGAAGTCTTAGACAGGAAGTGCCATAGTCTCAATCTTTTTTAATTTCTTCATTCCCCTCTGGCTATTGATAGTCATTGGAACGTTACAAAAGTGCAAATTACAACTCATAAAATAATGCTTTTGTTTTATGAATTTTATTAACTTTAGATTTTCTAATGTTCACTTCGGGTTTTGAGAATAAAAAAAGAGTAAAGTACACGTTCCAGACTTCAAATCAGAAGAGTTACCCCGAGGTTAAAGTGCGCTGAGATTAGACCAGGATAAACCAAAAACTCCCCTGGTACATATATCAGAAATGGACTGTTCGTGGGAGTTTGTTGTAAAATACCTCCCCGTGGCGGTGGGGACAGCAGGTGTAACCGTCGTCTTGTACTTATTAAATCGTGTGGGCTTTTTTTATCGAATGCTTCACAAGGTAAGAGGAAAAAGCAATTAAAGCTTTCCTGTTACTGACTTCTTACAATGTACCTGTGTTACCACAGTACTAATGTTTGTCTTAGTAGAATTCACTGTTATTTATGATCCATTTCATTCCAGTACATCATAGAAGTAAATCTCTGTTAAGCTGAAGTTAAGAGATTCTTGAGAATAGTACAGGTAATGTTTGTTTTTTTTTTTTTTTTTAATTATCATTTATAGTTTGATATACAACGTTTGTTTTTATTTTCTCTTTCCCAGGTTGATGAACATTCAGTCAGACATGGAGGAGAAAAGGTGGCAGATGTACTTAAGGTAAACATATTCCAAATCTTTATAAGTGATATAGACACTTGTGCACCTTGTATATATTTATTATATATCACAAACCTGCTGTTTTGTCATTTGTTTTAAATTTTTATCTCAGTATACATATTTCTAAAATTAAGCTGTTCTGGAATTTACACAGATATACTCATCTGATTTTTTTTTTACTTATTTATCATTAAAATTTATTAATGATAGAATTAAGCTTTACATTGTTCCTTGAGGATAAAAGTTAGATTTTCAAATTTTATAGTCAAAATTTGGATCTGTTTTTTGTTTGTTCTTCAATTTTAGTCTCATGGTGTGAAATATCTGTTCACTCTGACTGGTGGTCATATCTCTCCCATCCTAGTGGCCTCAGAAAAGCTGGGCATCAGAGTAGTGGACACCAGACATGAGGTAATGGTCATGAAGTTTATAAAGAAATGAACTTATTTTACTGTTTCGTCCTATTGATGTACATTAAAGATATTAAATTATACAGATTTTTGCTTTCAATGGTGAAAGACTAAATTATAATTTGAGATATTTAACAGATGAAAAATATGCTCTTTGGAATATGCTGTTGTGTTAAGTTGTGAGTTGAGTTACATGTAAAAAAGATGAATATGAAGTGTGGGTAATGCTTATTGACCATGGTTTCTTTGTTTATGCACTCAGGTAACTGCAGTGTTTGCAGCAGATGCAGTTGCCAGGCTGTCTGGAAATATTGGGGTTGCCGTGGTGACAGCTGGACCAGGTAATGGTTTTAGTTTTGAGCCAGCTAGTAGGCTTTACAGATGTTGAACTATGTGGTCATTCATTTCAATTCCTTAATTGAAACAATTACCACCTGCCACATGCGAACATCCACATTTACCTGCCACCAGAAAATGAGGAAAAACCATCACATAAAAATATCTTATTTGTATTAAAAAACATGGCTTGAAAAGAATAGATATAATTACATTTTTAAAATCATGTTTTAAAAATGCATTTCAACTGGAAAATGAGAGATGTTTTGACTGTTCAGCCTTTTTAAATTGTTTTTCTAGGCTTGACCAACACTGTCACTGCAGTTAAGAATGCTCAGATGGCAGAGTCCCCACTTCTGTTGATGGGAGGGGCTGCAGCAACATTACTGAAGGTGAGCTGAGGATTAAGCAAGTAATATTTAAGCACGAGCTCTGTCACGCAAATCATTATTATAGACATTGATAGTAATTGATTTAATTTGTCCATCCGTGGTTGGTATAATACAAGCAAACACAGGACAGAATTTTGGGGTTGGTTGTGATACAGTTTACCATTATTTAAGTCATTAACATCTATTAGGAAACTAATTTTTAAAAGATAAATTAAAATGCATTAACTGAAATGATCCCAACAATAATATTGTTAACCTGCATTTCAGGGAAGAGGTGCCCTGCAGGACATAGACCAGATGAGTTTGTTTAAGCCACTCTGTAAGTTCTGTGCCACTATTACCAAGGTGAGAGATATAGTCCCAGTGCTCAAGGAGGCCATCCAGGTGGCACAGTCAGGAACTCCAGGTAATGTCAATAAGATTGTGCACACTTCTAGAGAATGAGACAATTATTATTATTATTATTATTAATTTTTTTTTTCAAATTTCTAAAATTACTGAGTATGACTTTTTTTAAAAAGATGTATGCACATAGAAGTTATAAATAATAGTGTTTGTATAGAATGAATGTGCAATATGTATTATTTTTCAGTGTATAAGATCTAAAATGAACCTGCTCTACACCAGGGCCCAGTTTCATCAATGCTGGATAGTGCTATCCTATGGATAACAATTTTATCTAATTGACAGTGTTATCCAGAGGATAGCGCTATCCAGTGTTGATGAAACTGGGCCCCAGGTAAATTCATACTCATACATATACTTTTTAATCCCTGTGTTGTCATGCAACTCTTCTTGGTGTCAGGTCCAGTATTTGTGGAGTTCCCAATAGACACACTGTACCCTTACAGTCTGGTGAAGAGAGAGGCAGGGTTGTCAGACAGTCCAAAGGGGCTGATCCAGAAAATTGTGAACTGGTAAAGTTTTGGAATTAAAGTAATTAAATTGTTGAAGTAATCATGTTATGTTTGTGAAAAAAAAACCATCCTTTTGGTTGTAATTTTCAAGTATAAATTTATTACTACAAAAACACAAGATCATAAGTAAGAATAAGTTGATTTCTGTTACACCAACACTGTTTTTTTATTAGCATTTTTGCATAAAAAAATACAAAATAAATATACTCTATGTGAATATAGGTACATCAAGTCCAATGTGGATAATATCTTTGCTGGAGCCTGGGAGCAGCAGGACACTACACCACTGACAGTACAGCAGCCACAGGCAACACAGGCACAAGGTAAGTTTATAGGTCAGGCTGAAGCTTGACAAAGATAAATATGATCATGATAATAATAATAATAAGTAGAATGTGTATATATACAGTTAAAAGTTGGATACTATAGTTCTAATACTTAAAACATCTGAACAGTTTTAAAAGCTCAGGTGTTTCAATCATTAATCTCTTAATCTCATTTCAGTTCAGAAGTGTGTAGAGCTGTTGTCAAGAGCAAAGAAACCTGTGATGATATTGGGAAGTCAAGCCACACTGCCCCCTGTACCGGCCGACAAACTGAGAGAGGCGGTTGAGGTAAGCAGGTGGCATATTTACAGTGTATGAGAAATTAGTTTAAGTTAGTGAGATGCTTTTGTTATCTAATGACATATGGTCACAATAATACCATGACACATTGGTCCCAGAATTGTTAGAGCATATAAAAATAACGGTTCCCATTTCATACACAAGCCAGGGCTGTGTTCCCAGCTCAAACCAGAATAGAACAGTAAGGGTACACAGAATTTAAGATTTTAATGTTGTCATGATTATAGAATGTGCAAGTGATGCACTATATTGTGTATTGTCCGCACTACTGTTGTCATGAAAACCATATTCATAGATAGTTTAGATCTAGGTCTTAAATATTGTATAATAATAGCACATGGTAAATAGTGGACATGCCATATGAGGATGTTTTCCCTTATAAATACAGAGTTTAGGCATCCCCTGTTTCCTTGGTGGCATGTCAAGAGGTCTTTTGGGCAGAAACAGTCCAATACACATCAGACAGAAAAGGAGGGATGCTTTGAGGGAGGCTGATGTTATAATTATGGCAGGTAAGCCAGTGTATTTTTGTTGCAGCACATATCTGATTCACTTGGACTAAATCCAGTCATCAAAATGACTATTAAGTTTTCTTAGGTACTTGTGGAGAAGGTATTGAGGACATTTTAAAGTTATCACTTGCATGTATCACCACTAAGATCATCATGTTGTACTGAACTTAGACTATAAAAGTCACCCCAAGGTAGTCCCCTCTATGACATCTATTCTGATTTTTTAAAGTTATAATATATTCTTAACTGAAAGTATGATAAAGATAGGAGAGTCAGGGATTAAAAGCTTATTTACATGTGTTTGAATTTTAGGTGCAGTCTGTGACTTCCGCCTCAGTTATGGTCGTCACTTAAGCAAAAAGGCCAAAGTAATAGCTGTGAACAGGAGCAAAGAGCAACTGATGAAAGTATGGCAAATCATCACCCAACACTTTTAAAACAGACTTACAGATTTATTGAATGATATTTAACATAAGAGTTTTTAAATATCCATTATATAAAAAAGATATTATTGATCTTATATGTTGAATATGATATTGATTATATTAATTAGATATGGATTATATTTATTATTTTAAATTTGAAAAATTAAGAAATAAATGAATAACTGTATTTAGTTCTGTATGTTAGTTCTGTTGATATAGATATTTTAACTGGTTTGTTTTAGAATGCTTATGTGTTCTGGACTCCATCTGTGGCAATCCAGGCAGATGCTGGCAGTTTCCTTGTTTCGCTGTCCCAAAAATTGAAAGGGTACACTTGTAACAAGGACTGGATTGAGATGCTCAAACAGAGGGACGAGGAAAAGGAGAAGGCAAACTTGTGAGTAAACCTATACGTAATGACTAAGCGCTCAATATTACCAAACAAGCTTAGATGAAATGAGCATTCTGGCAGTTATTTTAATTAAATAATGTGCTTTGTTATGTAGTCAGCTTTATTTATGCTCTTTTTGGAAGTGGTGTCATATTTGTCTAACAAGTGAACCAGAGCATAGAGCATAAATTGGAAAAGCATATTGTCTCCTTATCTCTACCAGAAAACAAGCAGAGCAGAAGACAGAGTTCCATCTGAATCCATTAAAGGTACTGCATAAAGTGGAGGATTTGATGGCAGATGACAGCATCATTGTTGCTGATGGTGGTGACTTTGTTGGCAGTGCAGCTTACATACTTAGGTATCCGTGAAATTTTTTTCAGAATATTTGATTCCAAATCTGAGAAAAAAGTCATCAGAATTGACCTTAAAATAGTCTTGTTTGATTGTCCATGATCACCATTTCTGTTTCATGTCTGTAAACCTATAAGTCCCCCTGGACCAATCTCACTAGAGAAATTTAGCCTAAAAATTGATGCAAAAATTTGATCCATAGTTGTTCATTTTAAGGTTTGTATTGGTCTGAAACATTAGCTACATCTTTTTTTATGTCATATCTGCAATACTTTTAACTATTGCTGACTTATGTTGGGTTAAAGAAGACTGACATTTTTGTCTAAAAGTGAATACCAATTTTTGGACTTGTGAAGCAGGCCCAGATAGGATGGTTGGTTAACTGCAGTGAAACAGGCCCATTTGTAGTTATGCTGTTAATCCTCAGATTACAAGTTCAATCTTTATTTCAAAATTAATAAGTCAATAAAAACAATTTTGTTGATTATCAAGGCCAAGGGGCCCACTGCGTTGGTTGGATCCCGGTGCCTTTGGTACCCTGGGAGTGGGAGGTGGATTTGCTCTCGGAGCCAAGCTGTGCCGCCCAGACAGTGAAGTGTGGATTGTGTATGGGGACGGCTCTCTTGGATACAGTGTTGCAGAGTATGACACCTTCACCAGACACAAAGTAAGACAGGACTTGAAATTTTTTGCACTGTCTACATTTTTTTTAAGTCAAATAATTAATGTTAACATAATAAGTGGTAAATTAGAGATAGAGAATCAAGTAATTTAAGTGACTTAATAAGTTGAAAATTTAAAGCATTTAGCAAAATTTAATGATTTGTAAGTTCCTTGATTGTTGAACTGTGAAGTGAAAATTATTTTTGCAAAGAAAAAAACACTGGTGAAAGAAAAGATTACTGCATGAGTTGTGTTTGGCCGATTTTGCATGTTTAACTTTTGAAAATTAAAAGAGGTTTATTATAGCATATCAAGTATTGTTCACAACCAAATATTAAGGATGGCTTTAACTTCACCCAAGCCCTTGATTTTTTTATAAATTATCCACAAAATCATATACTTTGCAATGCAAGGTTTATTGATGCTGATTATCAAAGAATATTCAGTTAAGTAATTTCACCCATTCTCTGTCACAATATTTTCTTCAGCTTCCTGTGATCTCCATTGTTGGGAATGATGCTGGCTGGACCCAGATTTCCAGAGAACAAGTGCCTTTGTTTGGGAGCAATGTGGCTTGTGGCTTAGAGGTATAGTGGTTATTTTATGTACTACAGAAAATAGTATTCCATCCATCATGGACTAATAGTAATGTCTGTTGAATATCTGATTATTAACTTCTGTTGTGTATGTGTGTTTGTATGTGTTATTTTATACTCTGAAGGATTAATTTACAGATTCAATTTACAAAGTTTACTTTGTCCTTTTCAGCTTTGAAGGACATGCAGTTTGAAAGTGGCAGTCCTTGAAGATATCATTTAATGTCTTATGTGTGTTTAAGAACTAATTTATGCTTGTTCCCTTTAGCAGTGTATATAAATAGACAGTTTGACAGTTAAAATTGAAAAAAGAAATTATTCTTCATTAAAAAATATATTTTATCTAACTGATAAAATTATATTCTTTACAGTTTACAGACTATCATGTAGTAGCAGATGGCTATGGTGGCAAGGGTATTAAGTTGGACCGTGACAATGAAGACAACATGGAAGAGGTGATCAAAGAGGCACAGAAGCTGTGTCGGGAAGGAAAGAGTGTCCTGATCAACACTTTGATAGGGAAGACCAATTTCAGAGAAGGAAGTATATCTGTGTGATGAGAGAACCTAATTGAAGATGAATATTTGTTGAAGTTTGGTAGACTAATTTAGAAATTTTAACATTCTGATTGGAATTTTGTCTCCAGTCTATGATATCTTCACAATCATAAACATAGCACATAGTCAAATGTGTTAAACAGAGAGAGAGCATTTAAGAATTAAAGCATTGCTTGTGTCTCCATCTTGGAGCCTCTTCTATATGCACTCAGAAGATATTGTTGATACTAGTAATGCTCAGCATTAAGGCAAATTTACAGTTTATGCTATTTTCAGTTTTCTTATTTGAAAGTTAAGGTGTATTATTATGTATTATACTGCAAAGAGATGCATTTAGAAAATTACTGTTGCAAGATAAGAATCATGGTGCACAATTTTTGCCTGGTGAAAATTTTGGACAGAGTATTGCTTCATCTCTGCATTTGAAACCAGATTTTTTTTTTTTTTTGTTAAATTGCATTTAAGGTCATATTAACCAAGTTGAAATAATATCCAGAACCGTGATAGAAATGTACTCAAATGAATAGGGTAATACTTACATAATTTGTAGTGTGTATGTTTGCAATCTTTGTATGCATTCCACTTTCCTGCATAATGTAAAAACAGGAACAGAGACAGTGATTTAAATAACAATTGAGAGATAAGTTCAGATGTTTATTCATTCAATTCATAATGTAAACAGTGAATAGAGATCATCTGGCATAGTTGCAATGACAATGTCCTTCATTTTTGTTATGATATAAAACAGGGCTGAATAATTGCATTAAATGAAAATACATCCATTCTCCAGTCATGATTGCTTCACATAAATTTGCTTTGTAGCGTATGCCACTTAATAATATTGTTTTTAAACGTTGTGAACAAATGCTAGTCATGCCATTGGACATTGTTTTTTTCCATTTAGATCATTTCAGAATAGATGCAGACATCTTAAAGCTCTTTGAACACCATTAATAACACACAGTAATAAAATGTAACTTATAAATCACATCTTAAAACATTTTATATAAAGTATATTGCCAATTTATAAAAGTTCCCAAGCATCAAAATTTAATGTCCTGTCAAGCATGCCATGCTAACATAAATTAAAACAAAAGCAAAATGTTTGTTTCTACATGTACCAGAGCACTGAATGGTTTGAATGCTGTATAAGAGTTTCATGATCTATTTTAAAATGATGCTTGGGCACTTTTAACACTGTGTGGTGATATTCCACATGTCGAGGTTTTTATAATGTTCACTGAAAAAAAAATTCACACATTCTGACTGGACATGACATTTTTTTCTGAACCTTGCCAGTTTTACTCCCCTGAGAGATGCATCTCCTCTAAAGTGAGGCGTGAATTACCACGGTAACCAAGATAGATATTTGTGTTGCTTGAATATCCAACATCTGAACATGTGTTTTCAGCATGCAATGAAATAACTACATCCCCAGACTGTAGACCTTTACAGATGCCATCAACTGGAAGTCAAGAGATGCATATTAGCAAGCTTTTTAAAAATAAACTACAGGAACTGTAATGGTTAAGATAGTACTTACAGTCCTTTTATCTCATTATGATAGAAAAGTTTACCTTAAGAGGCTGATTTGCATTAATTATGTTAGGATCCTGTGTGGTTATACTGGGCATGTAGATTAAAGTAGTAATGTTTTAAAAAACAACTGGATTCAAACCTGAGTTATTTCATTAAAATAGTTTTATCTGTACTGTTTTAGGACAGGATTAATAAGCACATTTTGTTTGCTATCAAGGTTCAAGAACTTACTTGCATGGGTCCTGTGATAGTTTTGATAACTATTTGTGTACAGCCGAACATACACACTAGCTGGGTCGGTACACAAAGCCCCATTAAATTTAAAGAAGAGCTTGCCACAGAAATCACCTCCAATTCCAATGGGACCAACCCACTTCACGTGAAGTGTACTGACGGAAGATTTCTTACTGTAGGTGGCACTCTGGAACATGACAGGAAATGTCTGTGCAGCCATTAGGATCATTCAACAGTCTTAAACACATACAAAACCCCAAATATAAAATGTACCCAACTAATAATGGCATATGAGCTTTTTGTTAATATTATTCAATCTTAAGGCACAAACCAATTAGTTTTTATAATTATTGTTACTGTTGTAATGTTTATGAAATACATTGGTGTTGGTCTCTCAAAAATACCACATTCATCATGTGCCCAAATCAGTGCTTGATCTTTTGTAGACTAAATCATAATGTAAACAGCACCAACAGTGTTTTTAATACCTGCAACTCTCCTTGATTAGTATTTATCTGCAGTATGTCCCAATAAAACTGCTGGATGTTAAAAATGGGAACCTGGTACATGACACCATCTGAACCCATGACTGAAATAATAATAATAATAATAATAATAATATACAGGGTGGTTCATAAAAAAATGATCACTTGCCATTATAATTCAAAATAAGTCTTTTTTATGGACCAACCCCTTTATATATATATATATATATATATATATATGATCAGTTCTATCTGGTTGTGTGCCACAGTGTTGCAGCTGATATATTTTGGACTGGAAAGGTGATAAGTAAACCCAGGTATAGTGTAACTTTCACCAGATACTCTACACATGGATCTTTTGTCATGGTTTAAAATCCATTCTTGTCAGGGTTCTAGTCAAAAGTATAAACGTAAGTGGTTTCTGTAAATTTACGTTCTGAAAAACAGACCACCCTTTCTTCACTCACTGACTCTGCATCAGGGTTAGTTTTAAGCAGTCATGTGCATTTTGAAAGACTACTAAGCTATAGTCTCGGCAAATTGAAGAAGTCTTTCTTTAATATTTTGTTAATCAATTATATTATATTGACACATTTAAACTAATATCCCATACAATTATATTATATTGACACATTTAAACTAATATCCCATACAAAAGGCATGTAGAAAGCATATATTTTATTTTTGTAACATTATAAATATAATTCAAGCATATTCTATAAAACTTAGTGAATATTTTACTTACAAGCATCAATATCATGTCCCATACGTATTTCTTCCACCATAAACCTGGAAACGGCCAACCATCCTGTGTTTGCCTCTCCAGTTTCCACCTCATTCACACTGCTGCGACTTTCACCAATCAACAGACGGATGCGGACTTTGCCTGCTGGGATTCCCTCACAGATACCTTCCACTAAAAATGATGAAACCAAAACTATATCAACCTTTTGTTCACTTAAATTACAAGCATTTTTCCAAAGAGCAAATAACTATGTATTATTACGTAATAAACATTATTCATCATTACTCAACTGAAATTATATTTTGTGCCATTTCAAATAGGCTACAATAATGATTATGTGATTGCAATTTTAAGAAAATGTTCAATTTGATCATATGAAATTATAGTTGGCACAAGATTTAAAAGTATATACATTTTTCTTAACAGGCCACTCCAGGGGATTTTCCTGCCAAAATAAATTTTCCTGGAGTAAAAAGCAATTACCTCTTACTCGTGAATTATTGCTTGACCGATCCCTGAACTTGAAATCCATGTTTTATTCCATAATTTAATACTTAAGTTTTATGTGATTGCATGACCAGTCAAAGTAACGACATCTGCCATGGAACGGTTAATCTTATGATAATTTTCAATAAGCAAAATCCACTACCAAGTCCTGTTTTGGTGTCAGCTTCGACTGAACTTCCAGCAAACTGTGCCACAATGCCCTCTATTGGTGTTTGATAACATTCCTTCGTGGAAAATGTCACATACCTAAAGTTTAAAAACTTGCCATTAGACAAATGTAAGCTAAATAACATGCATATGTTTTGCATCATTACTTTTTGCTTGGACAAATAAAACATTTTATTCGTCCAAGTTTTCTGTCATTGTTGAATTCCTTTACAACTTCATCACAATAGTGTATTTTGAAATGACAGTCTTTGTGAATATTCCCTTTTCCAGAATGACTTAGCCAAACTGCAAATGTGAAAAGAGTTTTTGTTGATATAATTTTTTTAAATAATTTTCATTTATAAGTATATATTATCTAAATCATGCTTTTAAAAAACTTACCATCTTTTACTTGTATCTCCCTTCAGCCACATTGTTCCTTCCCACTTCACTCGTACTGCAGTGTCTTCCTCACGCTTCACATAGTCAACCCACTGATATTAAGAATTTGTGACAATTTTTATAATGCTGCTGATGTTATACAGATTTTTGGAATTTGGCATTGCCAAAAAAGATGCAAGTTTATTGTAAAGATGCAGCTTTATTTTAAAACTTATTAATTATGCAACACTTCACTTATTGTTTTTTCATGATTATTTGGCTAAGACTTGGTTCCCATACCTAGATCTATATAACAGGATCGGTTTATCTCCAAGGGGTTTCTCACTAAATTGCTTTCAGCTTAAGCGGTTTATATGTCTGGCACGCCTACTGAAGCTGCTAAACAATAATGAATATTACCCCCTAGTAGCTTCAGTAGGCATGACAGGCATCTAAGCCACTTAAATTGATTACAATTTAGCTAGAATCCCCATTAATAATAGATCGATCCACAGTTAGTACGATAAGGTCTGGGAATTGTCCATAAGTTTAATATTAAAAAATCTATCATGCTTACTGCAAGTTCCACATCTCCAGTGTTATCCCCTTTGTTTAAGTTGTGCACTGTGTGTTGCTGCACATTGAAGACAGAATGTGCTTCACAGGGACTTGGGATAGAGGTCTCTGAAAAAGGAATAAAATTTAACAAATAATTATTACTACTTTTCATTATTGCTATTTTTGCTTGAAAGCTAGTAAAAGTGTATATACTTTTTCTTACATTTCATTTAGTTACTTTTACTATTTTTGAGAAATGTCTTTTGTATTCACTAACAAAAGGCATTTCTCAAAATGTCTTTTGTACTCACTAACAAAAAGGAAGAATAATTATGGTTGTCAAAGTTAACATTATTTTTGGGGTTAATTTATATAAAGATATCTGAATTAGAAAGCTTTAACCAAAAACAAGTGTTTCTGAATAGTTGTGGAAAAAGACACCAAAACCAATGTGTGCTACAGTAAAGGACTCATGATAGGAAATATACACCTCCACAAATATCTTCCTTGTGGGACAGGATATTATGTTGCACTGCTGTGTCCAGAATTTCTTGCCATGATAGGACATTCCCTTTCAGTTCAGACTGACATGTCTGTCCCATGGCAGTAATATCTAGTACTTTATCCCATACATTGACTCCAGTCAGATAACCAACATATGCTTGTGAAGTGGAAAAACATCCACCCACACAGTCTTGGTCTTGACCTATGACCCAGGTTCCACCTCCTAACACGCAGAGAAAAAATATTGGATGCAACAATTGTCAATAAAAAAAACACAATTAAGGCAGGAAGTCTCTGTAAAACCACCCAGCACCGTCAGACCAAAACAGATTCAAAATGTGCATGTCTAAATACCAAGGTTATCCCTAATAGTTACAATACAAGTTTTAACCTACATGTACAATCAAAAACATGAATATAATAAATATCAAAATTATATATTTTATAACTATTTATCGATCTCCATTTCAACCACCCTCAAAATCCATCCAAATTACAGGTAAATCCAATGCATGTAGAAATGTGGTCTGGCTAATGAAACTGCAAATACAATATGATTGTACAATTTGTACTACAGATTGGATTACATTTTGATCATACCTACACCATTGCTATATCTAAATTATCACAACACTATACTGTAATTACCTTACCACATTCATACGTTCACCCATCACACATTCACCAACCCAC